TAATTTTATTTAAATGTAAGTCATATTATTTACACGTAGATATAATAATCCTTTTTCAGAAAAAAGGAATGTAAAAAAGACAGCGATATGGTAAACAATCCGTCGTATGACTGCCAATGGGAGTGCATTGAATCCCGATATTCGATTATCATCTAACCCGGAGAATCGACCCGTAGAGGATTATGACTAGGCGATGGGAACAGACAATAGAGATGCGCAGGATTGTAATCACTCTAATATATATGTCAATGATATGACAACCAGACAAGTTAACCAGGGATATAATTCCTCGAATGATATGCCTGATTATGCTAATTATACTGAAGACCGTTGTCCTCCTGACAACAAACCGCGAGGGAACTCGGTGGAGAACTCGTTCACGTATATGTTAGCCAAAAAACCAAACACTGACGATCTACCGGATGGGGAATATAACACTTTTTCGGACCAATCAGCTGATCTGCCGCCTACTGATACGTATGACCATGTTCACGATGTGCCAGAGGATGGCTACGATCAGTTCCAAATGAAATCAAGTGAACGATCTAACTTTGAACACGATGATGAAACCGGATAAATGCAGTCCAGCTTTCCAGGATGACTACAACGGGTTTGGTTATAGTTTAATCTATTGATGTGAATGTGCATGTATATGTTAGTTGTGTAATATAAAATAAAAATAATACAAATTTTAAAAAGATCATTTGAATAGAAAGTAAAATGTTTGAATTGATTTCGTTATATGAACATTGTAGTAGTTGTATATACTTTCTATCGACTCAATAAATATGAATATCTACATATAGTTTATTACGCTGTATACCTAATGTGATTAACTAGATCACTCTAAAATGTTTGGTGTTCAATGTTAGCGCCTTCTACACATGTCGAATGTTTTAAGTACACAATTGTACATTTTGAATACACAAATGTCACCTTATTCCCTATTGTATCATATTCTCAAGTCTAGCGTTACTACTGACGTTGTCAAAAATGGATGATTAACTCAAATTCCTCGTTCAAAAATCTTAGGTGTCAGGACAAGTGTTCATATAAAAGAATAAAGAAATTTGATACAAGGGAAATAAACTTAAAATTTAGGGAAATATGACGCTATTGTCCCTGGACTTGTTAGCATGTGATCCTTGCCTGTGTGTCAATATGATAGTTGCGATTATATTAACTAGTCATTTTTATTTTTTAAGGCAGTGATTGGTTACAAATTTCGGACAATTGTTAAAGCATGTAACTTGCATTTCATTTGAGAGAAAAACAAAAAAATCCATTGTTACGCTTCAACTATAAGACGTTGCAATGTATCAAATTTGTTTTTGTTAACTCTGACGAACTCGGTCTTATAAGGGATACTAGTCACCTGAACTCAAGAAGGCGGGCTTGCTTGCTTCATAAACTTGGATAATGTGACG